CCTGATCCCCTGGCTCCCTGACTCCTGCGCAGCCGCACATCGCAGCACGTCGCCACGGAGACGCCGCCTAGATCAGAGGGGTGGGACTTCAGGGCTGCAAGGAGAATTGGTGTTGTCGGAGAACTTCGGCTTCCCTTTTACCAATGGTGGTTTAGCTGTGGTCAAGCTGTGGCCAAAGGAACCCAGCCTTCTGGCGGGGCATTTCCGACCTCAGCCAGCTCATCCTCTGGCATGCGGAAGCAAGAATGAGCTGCCTCGCCGCGGGTAGGAATCTCTTCCAATCTTAAACCTCTAACCATCCTGGCTTGATTAAAGATATTCTAAAAACCCTGATGGATGCCCGTTTGCAATCAGACTATTAAAACACTGGACTCTCCAGAGATTGCAATTTCCCTGGGGGTCTTATTCAAGGAGAAGGAAAAGACTCTGTCACAGATGCCAGCCAACAGAGGAACTTGACTCCAGGAAGGATATTTCACAGTTCCGAAAACTTGTCAGACTACCTTACCAGAGAAACTGGAAATGAAACGACCACACCTTGACAAAGGACTGCTTAGTTGTGTATGCCTTTTGTCTTCTATGTAAGCTTAAACTATACCACTTAACAGAACCCTGGAAATGGACTTGGAGTAGAGAATGCCACCAGACGTCATTGTGCTTTCCAATTATAATATTTCTTTTTTTCACTTCAACTTTTGTCTTTTTAATTGACCTGTTGAGGATGAGTGACCCAACTAGTTAGTTAAGGCTGCCAAGGCTCAGGTTCTGACTCTTACAGCTCTGATAACAGTTTATACTCCTGCACATTTTTTCAAATCTCTCACAAACTATCATTGGGCACACATGATTGGACACCTTGAGGGAGGCAGAGAACCCTATTTCATCTTGCTTCAAGATGGATTCAGGGTAGAAAGCCATAGCAGCAGCAGACTTTCCCACATCCAAGCACTTGGCCAAGTACCTGGCATAGGTCACCCACACATGGGGGGAGTTCTCAGATTCCATTATCTGTTTCTTCCTTCTTCCTTACTCCCTAGCCTCCTCTCCATCCTGACTCCTGATGGAACCTCAAGTCACTTTTCCCCCGTTTTTTTGTTTTTTGTTTGGGACAGAGTTTCAATATGTAGTCTTGGCTGGCCTGGAACTCACTATATTATTTAGATCAGACTGGCCTCATACAAAGAGATCCTCCTGCTTCTGCCTCCACAGTGCAAGAGTGAAAGGTATGTTCTACCAAGACTGGCAAGTCACTTTCCATTCAACATCACCCCCTTTTAGGTCTCCAAGATCTGCTGTCACAGTTACACTGTCCTTGTGCTTCAGAAAATAGGCCCAATAATTAATGTCATTGCTTGCTTCTCTTGGAGCCCAGGCTCTGTCTCCATTAAGGAGTGAAATCCTGAACCACAGAAAAGAGAGTGGTCATTTTGGGCTTGTCAGTATAGTTTGGACTGGCACTGGTCACCAGACAAAGCGGATAGGGCTTCAGGATCACCCTTGCCTCCATTTTCTGAAGATCCTGAAGGAATGTGAGTGCCAGCTTCCACTTTCCTCAGGCAAAGAAACCCTTGGAGGAAGCAGGATGCTCTTGCTGAGAATGACTTGTCTGAGGCTGTGGTGCCCAGTTACCTGCTGGTCCCTTCAGACTTCAGGCCTCACACCTCCAGGGAACTGTGTTGGCCCATCTGCAGTTCTGCCTACAAGAAGATTTTATTTGTTTTCCAGATTGAAATGATGTACCACCATCCCAAATCAGCACTGCAGCCAACCCCTAATACCACCTTGGGAAAGGCAGTCCCATCTGTCTAATTAGTCCTGTCCCCTCAGAGATAAACACATTGTGAATGGGCAGGACTGTGGCAGCTTCCTTTTTTTTCAAGTCTGTTGTTCTGGTTCTGTCTTGTGCCTCACAATGCTTTGGATGACCCAGGAGTCCACTCAAGAATCTGGAATCCTTTGAGGATCTCTCTCTAGGCTCATACTGAGTGGGGCTGGGATCTTGATGGCTTCAGTCCTTGTTAGGGCATACTGGGCCCTGGTGCAGGTTCATTCTGTAAGGGCATCCTGCGCATTGACATTCCAGGATTAGTATCAGATCCACATCACAGGACATCGTCTCTGTGGAAATGAGCAAAGGCCCACTCACTCAGAAGAAAGTTCATAATTGCTGATAGTGCAGGGGGCTCAAACTCAAACTTTTTTTTCCCCCCAAGACAGGGTTTCTCTGTGTATCTGTGTAGCTCTGGCTGTCCTGGAACTCATTTTGTAAGTCAGGCTGGCCTCGAACTTGCAGAGATCTGCCTGCCTCCTCTAGAGTGCTGGAATTACAGGTGTGTGCCATCACCTTTCTCTTGCTAGTCTTATGCTAAGCAAGTTCTTTTCCAGGGAGCTATTCCCTCAGCCTTACAATATTTTTTTTCCAGTGCTACTGTTCAAACCTAAGTTGTCTTGCATAGAAAACACTTTCACTGAATTATAACCCACACTCCCCTTTATTTTAAAGCTTTCATTTTCCTTCTGCCTTTTCTTCTTTTACACTTCCTTTTTCTTCCCCAATTCCCTGTTCTCTACCCCAGTTTAGACTCAAATTCCCTATGTAGCCATGGCTAATCTTGAACTTCTGATCCTCCTTTCTTTGTGTTTCTATTGCTGTGATCACAGACAAACACAGCCGAACCCACTTTATAAGGTGCTGAGGATCAGATGTAGGGCCTTGTGTATGCTAGGCAACCTCTCTACCAACTGAGCTAAATTTCCCTCTTTTTGTTTAGTTTTTAGAGGGACTTATACTGTAGGGCAGGTTGGCCTTGAGCTCCTGGCATTCCTCTGACCTCAGCTTCCTGAGAGCTTGGATTACAAACATGAACCACCATGCTTGGCTTTTCTTCCTTAAGAAGTACTGTTTTTGGAAACCCTGTCTTGAAAAAACAAAAACAAAAACAAAATACTGTTTTTGTTTCCCAAGCTGGCCTTAAATTTTCCACCCTTTTGTCTTAAGCATTAAGCATCCAAAGTAACTATGATTATAAGTATGTACCCAATGCCTGGCAACCAACAATATGTATGTACCTAAGTATGTATATAGTACATGTGTATTTTATATGTGTATGTGTGTGCATGAATGTGGACAAATGGGTGTTTGTGGCCTGTTGTGGTTTGGATAAGAATGGGCTCATACATTTGAATGCTTGGTCTCTAGTGGGTGGAACTGTTTTGGGAAGGATTAAGAGATGTGGTCTTGTTGGGGGCTTTGAGGTTTCAAAAGCTCATGCCAGGTCCAGTCTCACTCTCAACTACTACTCAGTGCCATACCTGCCTGCTTGCTGTCTTGCTTCATGCCATGATGATCAGCGACCCACCCTCTGAAACTGTCAGCAAGTCCACTACCAAGGTCATGGTGTCTTGTCACAGCAACAGAAAAAGACACACATGGATGTGCCTGCATACGAAGGCCCAAGGTTGATGTTAGAAATCAATCCTCCATTCTTAGCACCCTATTCAGTGAGGCAGGGTCTCAATCAAGCTTGCTGATAGCGCTAGTCTCACTGGCCAGCTTGGTTTGTATAAAAAATAAGATTTTCTGCCACAAAGTGGTGGTGTATGCCTTTAATCCCAGCACTCAGGAGACAGAGGTAGGTGGATCTCTGTGAATTTGAGGCCAGTCTGCTCTACAGAGCTAGTTCCAGGACAGGCTCCAAAAGCTACAGAGAAACCCTGTCTCAAAACAAACAAACAAACAAACAAAACAACAACAACAAAATGTATAAAAGTCTTACAAGGTGAGGGAGGTAAAAAGCATTTTAACTCCTTGCCCTAACCACAAGATTTATTGTTGTGGAATAATCCTTTTGTACATTGTGAAGGTATGTCTTTGCCAAGTGCCTTCTAATTGGTTTAATAAAGAGCTGAGTGGCCAGTAGCTAGGCAGGAAGAGGTTAGGCGGGACTTCAGGGCAGAGAGAGAAGAAGAGATGAATCTAGGAGTGGGACAGATGCTAGAGGACACAGAGAGGAAGCAGGAGGTGCAAGACATAAGAGAAGTAAAAGGCCACAAAGCAAGAGATAGATTAATAGAAATAGGTTAATTTAAGTTATAAGAGCTAGTGGGACAAGCCTAAGCTACAGGCCGAGCTTTCATAATTAATAAGTCTCCATGTGCTTATCTGGGAGCTGGCTGGTGGTACAGAGGAACACTCATTACAATTTACAGTATTTGATAGAAAAGACACCCATTTGTTATTTCTTACATGATGCAGAGACTTTAGAGGTCTTTGAGGCATGGGAATGTAATTACTTCACCCACCTTGGGAATACTTCTGAGACCCTGGGGTAGTTGGATTTAGTGACACATTTCTGTAATCCCAGCACTTTGGAGGCTGAGGCAGGAAGGACTGCAGCTGGAAGTTTCTCTCCTGCCCGCCAGTTCACAAATGACCACTCTAAGGCTTAATATTAATTATAAATGTTTAGCCAATGGCTCAGGCTTATTACTATCTAGCTCTTATATTTAAATTAACCCAGAGCTTACTGGTGGGGCTCTGAAATGTTGTTCCTTGGGCAGTTGGATGGCATCTTCCTAGCTCCACCTTCCTTCTCTTGTATCTCTATTTGGATTTCCCACCTAGCTATATTCAGCCTATCTATTGGCCAAATCAGCTTCTTTATTAACCCATTGTAATAAAATATATTCAGAGGGGCATGCCACATCAAAGGTCAAGGTTCCAAGCCAGGCTGGCTATATAAAGAGAGTCTGTCTTCTGTCTATCTATCTATCTATCTATCTATCTATCTATCTATCTATTTTTTGGTATTTCAAGAAAGGGTTTCTCTGTGTAACAGTTCTGGCTGTCCTGGAACTTGCTCTGTAGACCAGGCTGGCCTCTAACTCACAGAGATCCACCAGCCTCTGCCTCCTAAGTGCTGGGATTAAAAGTGTACATCACTACCATCAGGCTAGGAGAGTCTGTCCTAAAGTAACCAAAACAGACAAACTGGTAAAGGTCTGCATCTCCATAACTCTGGAGGTGAAGGCAGAGGATTATAAATTCAAGGCCATCCTTGGCTACATGGTAAATTGGAGGCTAGCCTGGGGTACATAACACTGTGGACCAGGTCTCTAAATA